CCAATGGCGCAAAATATCTTTGCCTGCTACAGACGTGTTATTCAAAAAGAAAAACACGGAAGGACACACAAGGGGGCTGTGAAAAATCCAGTCGCGTCCTCGCAAAGCGGCGTCAACTGGCTGCTTGCGAAATTGGGAATTCTCATCGTTTGGGCAGGAATTTGCCAAAGTGTTCCCACATCGGTCAGGATCGACAAAAAAGTGCCCAATGCAATTGGGCGTCAACGTGTTGGAAAGCAGCTCGTGTTCCCACACTGAGGTTGAGGATTCCTTTTCAGACGCTGCTCAGTTGATTGAAACCGGCAATGGCTGTTATGAGAACTGCGGGTCCCGCATCGCCGACTGTGCGCGCCTGCACCGACTTTCCACGAATTCCCAGGCAGAAATTGCAAAGAAATTGGCAGTGTCAGTCGGGCTACAAAAGTTGACGATCGTGCACTGGGGGGGAAAAAGCAGTTTGTCATGACATTATGACCCGGGCCCAAATCGAACGAGCGACTCCCGCTGATGGACACATTCTATGAAATAGCAGCAGGTGTGCACCATACGCTACTCCCCATGTAAGCATGAACATGGACGCCCACTTCATGTCGGACAACGACCAGCCGCGCACGAGGTTTTTATTTATGCGCAGAGTTTGCAGTAGACGGAGTGCTGAGTGTGCTGCGGCTATCAGCTCACCAGAAAGCAACCAGGCAGCGGATTCTGGGCACATTTAAACCTTTCGAGCATGGATCGACGCTTCCCAACAACGATTTTGTGCGTCAATGGAAAACAGGTCCACTCCTGCGGCCAACGACACTCGGCTGAATCCTGCGAAATCATGTTCGAAAGGATCTCAGGGAACTGTCTGCAAGTGTTCCCACAGCAGTCAATGAAACCGAGGCCAGTGATGGCGAGAAATCGACTACTCATCGCTCGTTCTCCGATCCGATCGAAATGATATACACAACGTTGAGGCCGAACTCTTGCAGTGAGGGGCTTGACCGTGACCGCTACTCATGGCAAGTTCTGTCTGCCACTCTCACAAAATTATTTCAAGAGTTCACATGAGTCTCTCAACACATCGTTCCGGAGATTCAAAGTCTTTAGACGTGAGAGCTGAATGCCGAGACTTGTAGTCATTTTGGAGCGCAACAGCCAGTCGAGAAGAGGTGGACAAGGTCATGTTAACTACCGCAAGACGCTAGCTTCCGCCCCGCATTTGCGACCCATTGTCCTCACCTCACCCAGCTGCGGCTCGCGCTGGATGCCCGCCGAGCCCCCGAACTCTCGAAGGAGGGACCCCAACTGACCTACTGGGATACTTGCAAGCGAATGCACACTTGTGTTTTAGGTGGCTCTCTTAGTCATGTATCTTCCACTAACGAAGGGACGCCTCAACTGACTAGCCGCAGAAAACGGAAAAAAAAGTGCCCAAAAATCGAAAAACATGGCTTCGCTCAGACTCGAACTGAGATCTTCAAGGTAAGAGCTTGATGACTATATTAATTTGACATGACGCACTAACGTTATGCTACAAAGCCGTTGCACTCATTGGGAGAAAACGGAGTTCGTCCGAACGCTGGAAATTGGAGTGGTCACCGTACATCACAAGTTGACAAATTCACTTTTTCGTGAAAAAGCCTTGAAAAGAGGAAAAGATTTCAAAAGAGATGATCACTTTTTTAGGCCAAGTCCCATTTCCGGAAAAAGACGAAAAGACAATAAGAGACCAAAAAGCGATCACTCAAGCCTGCGTACAAGCTGAGAAAATAGCTTCTCAAGTGGAAATAAAAGGAATATATGAGCCTACATGCAATAAGTGGCACATAAACCCAGCAGCGGTATCAACGGGGAGCGAAAGACGAAAGCATAGCTCCGTATGCATTTGAGAGAGGAATCCTCCTGTTGGTTTGACAAGAAATGCCCTGCAACAGCATAGGACGACAAACGGCACTGTATGTTCTCGTAAATCAGAATAAGTGATGCCATGTAGTGCGATGGAAGGTGACGGGTCTGCGCAGGTCCACATCGCGCTCGACTTTTAGAAGAGAACATGACGACCTGATGGCCAGGGAGCCGCACAGGGCAGGAAGGATCATGAGAAACTCTGCTGCATGATATTTCCGACAACTGGAGAGCGAGAGACAAGAGACTAGAAGAGCAGGCGAAGAGCGGGCACTGTCCAGAGCTTTAATTAATCCAGTTATCGCACAGAGCGAGCCAGGTCTTGACATCAAGAGTAGGGAGGGGCCCAGCCTATCGATATGAGAGCGGTGGAGGAGAAGGACGATGTGCTGCGGTTGATCAACAATCTTAGCAAAATTCACGAGTCAGTGAACCGTTTGCGCGATGCGTGCCTGGTCCTACAAGGCTCTGTCGCATACATCGAGAACCTACCGGCGGGGCGTTGGATCTCGTTCAAATAGCACAATACCTCAGTTTTGGTGTTACCCGGCCTTGTCCGAGTTTTAGGGTCAGTACGAAGAAGCTGAGGGTAATTCAAGTGAGCTATAATAATTTCCTGAGCAGTAATGACCCGTTTCTACGAAAGACTAATAAGTTGCCCAAGCTGCTAAAAGCTGCGCCAGAAGTAGATCAACAAGTGTTGAGAGCGGGAAAAAGCGGAGGAAAAGAACTTGTCAATTGGATGTAGGTAAGGAGGTCGGATCCGGAAAATCGGCCTCAATCTAACTTTTGTCCGGACTTTTCAGATGTTCCCACGCTTTCTGGGGCTGCAGAAATCGTTTTCTCAGCAAAGCCGTCATTTTTCGTGTTTTTTGCTCGAAGTTTTTCTCAAATTTTGTCCGGACTTTGCGATCCGACCTATATTAGGGTAATAATCGGTCCTTGTAGGTATTCATTTCCTTTTTTTTTTTCCCCCTTCGTTGACACGTGACTTGTGCTGGTTTGCCGGACTCACCCCCAGGCACAACCAGCTGGGGAAAGTGTTAGCATGCGTCAATCGGACCTCTGTATCCGTGCAATCGACTGACTACGTCCCCGTATGATCTTGGATACACTGTCCGCTTTTGAAAATAATTCTAGAACTAAAGAGCGCGCCGATGGACGTGAAAAACATGGTCAATAACCCGGGCCTGAATCGGCCTAGCAACTCTGCTGTTCGAATGGCTGTACCCTAGATGGGCAGTTAAGAAAGGAGAACGAAAATTCATCTTGGACTCGCGTGCGCGTTTCATGCTCACATGGGCGCAAGTCAAAGACCCGGCGCTGAATTGAACGGGGGAATCACGTCCAACTTCAGTTGCTGGCGAAACGCTATGGAAAAGAAAAGAAAAACATTCAAATTTGCCTTTAAGGGACCCGGGCCCGAATCGAACGAGCGACTCCCGCTGATCGCCGAGTTTGTCCGAATAGCAGCAGGTGTGCACCATACACCACTGGGTCTTGGCTTCAGCCCATCTACAATGGAATAGGTGCGTCTTTGGATAGTAAACTTTTGCAACCAGAAGTGTACTGAAAAACCATGGAGGCAGACACGCTTCATTCCACGTCGACCGAATCACGCAAAACGGTTAGGAAACATATCGGGTTCAGGATCAAAACTCGACCTGCACTCTTTCCTCACCACGCGGATAACAGACGAACACTTGATGTTCAAGTCTCCGACAGCGCACAGCCGTTTCAAAACTTTGGGATGCAACGACGCTGGGTGCGCTGCGCAAGATTTTGACTGGATCCACCCGGTTCTCTTTCCCGCGTCTGGAGTTAAACCTGAAGGTTGGGATTACCAGGTGCGCAGACTATCGACCGTCATGGAAGGGTTTTTGCACTCAGGTCTGTCTGCAACAATCGACAATCCATATGGCCGCAGAGCAAAGGAGGGTTCAGCACTTTCGTTGAATTAACAACTGGAACACGGAAAGATTTGTACCGTACGTGAAGGCTTACCGTTGGAAGCAGAAATACCAATCGTGGATCAGAAAGTTCACCCGAACTTCAGTGGTGGCTTGGACGGCATACGATCCATGCTTCCACCGTAAGGCTGATAAATGTGCTCCAACCGCTGAATCCTAATTGCAGCCGTCGCTTGAACATGCAACGCCGCAGAAAATGAAGAAGCATCAGATGGAAGTTCGATCGAGGAATTGATACTGGTAAGAGAAACTCGCCACGGTCGTGTTACCCACGGAGGGATACATATGGATACAGGTCAGGGAAATAGGTGCGGCCTGGTGGCGTAAGGATCACACCCGTTCCTCTTTCGGGTGGTGCGTACTCCCGTTCGATTCGGGGCCAGGCATATAAATGTCGGATCCGTACTTTTTTCGTTTTGTTGCAAGATTCGCCTTTCTCGAGGTGCACGTCCTGATGTTGTCCGTGCTGTTCATCGGCGGTGCAAAGCGCCGCCATCATCATCGAGCGCGCGGCGGTCAAAGCGCGCGCGATGCAGATCAACGATCAATCAGCCTCGATGCGAGTGCCGATCGAAGTGCCGCGTCGGCTTGCAGTGATCGATCGTGCCGCATCGATAAGGGATCGGAAAATATATTGAACTCAGCGCGAGGCGCTCCCGCGTGTTGGAAAAGAACATATTATATAGGATGCCTCTCTTTCATCCATGCCGCGCAGTTACAAAACCCTCGACTACGACGACGGCGATGAGGATTACCACCCGGCCGGCAGCACAGTGCCGCACTTGATGCCACCTCGGAAGAACCCGGGCCGCAGGGCGAAAGCCTTGATTGCGGCCGACAGTAATACACGCGGAGCTGTCAACTCGGGTGATCGGCACTGTTCGGCACTGGCTGATGGGAGCAGCCACTGCCGGCCGCTAAGTTTTGATGGACATCGGTGGCGCACAACGTCGCCACCGCTGGCGACCACTGGACCTCGCTGGCTAATATACCCAAGCAGTCTCCACTGTTCCCCATCCATTTTTGCTGGACCTCATTGTGCGTTGTTGGGTTGTAGCGGATTGAATAGCCACCAAGTCCCAGTATAAGCCACCAGTTTTCAATGGTTGGAGTTTGAGGTTGTTGATAATTTGATTCAAATTCTGCCTACACTGGCCCTCGTTGGCTCATGCTGGTGGAATTTCTTCCCATTGGCCAGCAAAAGCCATCAGTTTTCACTGGTTCACGTCGGCCCAACTCTCTCGCGTGGGCCAGTGTAACCCGTTGTGGTTCATTGGGAATAAATGGTTCTACGGGAGTTTTACCTATATTTTCTGCCAACTCATTGCTTCCGAGAGTGAGACCGATTCAGGAAGTCAACGCGGATCGGTATTTGATCAGGATATCACATGACGCAACGCGTAAACATTTGTTGAACATTGTGCAGGGCAGCAGATCTAATAGCGCGTCTATATAGGTATTAATACGTGTCGCATAATTAAATAGTTGATTCAGAACGTCTATAAATGCTTGCTTGTGATAAATAAATATGATATAAATATCAGGGCAATGTCAGGGTGTGCCGAAGCTAGGATACAACAAACACAAGGCTCAGTTGAGCCCAAAACGGCCATGTAAAAACTTGAAAATATTGTGATGTCCCCCCCCCAATTTATTGGGAGTAGTATATATCTCCGTGGAGTCTCCGAGCTCATTTCATGGTAGGTTGACATTTAGAAGCGAGCGCCCACAACCCTCGCAAGTCAGAAATAACTGCTTGGACTACATACTAAGAAATGAACACCAGTTCAAAAGGCAAGCTGCTCATATCCTCGTGCACATGTGAAAGTACTATAAAATGTGTCCAGTGTATTTATGTAGATAACTGATAAGATATTCGTGGAAACTCGGATTTGGCCCCTGGTCTCCGGTGGTCGCCACTATTATACGGTGGACCCCAGTGGAAATCGCTGGCGAGCGAAGATGCGGCGGTCCAGTGAAAACCAGTGGTGATCGCCGGAATCCATACCTTATCTTGGCGCCCGCCGGTACACCACGCCAAACACTGTCCATCAACATCTGCCAATGGCCGCCAAGAGTCACTGGCGGCCACCGGCGGCCGCCAGTGACTTTTCCAGCGGCGGGTATATTACTCGCGGCCGATGTGCGCGAGGCGGAGATCGCGGGCAGATGTCTGGATTCGTACACGCTTTCGAAGGACTACAGAAGCTGCAGGTCGTCTCCGACGCTCGCGCGGCACAGTTCGATATTCACCCACGCGTCATCTGCTGGAAGGACAAGAAGGAGCGTGCCCTTTACGGCGGATTCATGCCGACGGACGAGACTACAGTGAATGGGTGGCTTCACACGACGCGCCGTGGAAAGCAGCTCATCCGGGTTGGCTTGATCTCGAGTTTTGTGAAGATGACGACCAGAATGGAGGAATGGGGGAAGAAGAACTGGCATGTCTGGCTCCTGATGGTGATCCAGCGGGCAATGGCTGTCTACGACTGCAACGCTTATGACTTCCTTCCTGGGACACGGTGGTCGAAATTCAACAACGGAAGGGCAAAGACGATTGTGAACGAGGCCGTGGGGACGGTCCCGCTCTTTGTATCGCAACCGGACGAGATCGAGAACAGGGATGGCATTTGTGTCCAGCTCACTGTGGAGTCTGCTGAAGCTGGTGAAGGAGGGGCTCGTGGTCCACAGGGACAGGACGGGAATCGACGATTTCACTTTCATGAGTCCGTAATCCTCTTTTGTTGCTCATACTTGTCTTCTCGCCTACTGCTGTACACGCTGTCGACCTGTTTAGAAGAAAACGTCAATGAATCTGGGCGTTTCAGTTGAATCCCGCTTAAACGTGTTGGAAAGCAGCTCGCAACAGCTAAAGTGTTGCGTTTCGGTGTTGGAAAGCATCTCAGGGAAAAAAAGGGCGCACATGGGTCAATGCCCATGGGTGTTTCGGTTGAATCCGGTGAAATCGTGTTGGAAAGCAGCTCAAGAAGCCGTCTGCAATGGCTAAAATGTTCCCACATCGGTCGTGTTTCGGTTGGAAAGGATCTCAGGGAAAAAAAGTCTGCACATGGGTCAATGCCAATGGGCGTTTCGGTTGAATCCGGTGAAATCGTGTTGGAAAGGAGCTCAAGAAGCCGTCTGCAATGGCTAAAATGTTCCCACATCGGTCGCGTTTCGGTTGGAAAGGATCTCAGGGAAAAAAAGTCTGCACATGGGTCAATGCCAATGGGCGTTTCGGTTGAATCCGGTGAAATCGTGTTGGAAAGGAGCTCAAGAAACCGTCTGCAATGGCTAAAATGTTCCCACATCAATCAGGGAAACTGAAATTGAGGATTCGTTTTAGACACGCACCCCAAACCAAGTTGAAGCCACTTCCGACAAATTCCCGTGGCCGAGAAATCCGCGGGTCGGAACGCTACGGACTTGAAAACAGACCAGTATTGCCTGGCTCCATAATGGAATAGAATGCGATTAGCTACAGGCGCAGCGAAATTCACATCGAGTAGAAATGGCCCGCAGATAGCCTGAATGTTGAACCACAGTGTGTTACCATTACATTACACTACCGGGCCATACCTCTGAGCGCGTCGCAACAGCTACGGAAAACAAAACCAAAAAACCAGTTATTTGATATCAGATGACGCGACTCCCGCTGAAGGGAAAGTTCCAAAATACTATTGCAAGCGGGAGTGTACGGGTCTGCCCATCTACAATGGAATAGAGCTACAGAATGGCACGCCCTTTCAAAACCTTTTTTCACCGCGCCTGCCGACCAGTTTCAGCCCCTTCTGATCAGTGCGATAACTCGGTAGGAGACGCCTGAGAGTACTGACACGTACCTAATGCAGGACGCCTTTCGCGACCCTCCAACGGACTTGAAACAAATTTCTAGCAAGCGGGGCAAACTCGGAAAGCCACCATTAGGGTACCAAATGAAACATATCGGGTGATCGTAGGTCTAGAATCCGAGTGAGGTTTGCGCTCTTCCTCGCCAGTCAAAACGTTTCGACTAAGGCTGGCTAAGATTATGAGTACATTCCATTATAATTTAATGTAATGCTAAAATTACGATTAAATACACCGTGAGGATAATATTAGGCTCTAATATTATTGACCATTCAATTACGATATCTTACGATTACATTACAATATGGGGTACCGTACTCGAATGTAATGTTAATTATATGCATATGGTCTGGGTGCACAAAGACCTCTGTTTTTCAGACTATATAGGGCTTAGTATGATATAGAAGGCCTAAATTTATACCCCCACTATTTCCTCGGCTCATATGGACCAGTGTCTGGTGGTGTAGTTGCACAAAAATTGAACGTGGGTGATCATGTGATCTGGTTCAATTTACCATTATGTTGCGGAATCAAGATATATGAACTAAATGTGGCTTTCCAACTCATGGAGTCTGCTTAAAGTTCTAGTACACCTCTGAAGCTGTTAGACGTGTTTTTTCTTTCTCGGTGTTTGGTGCCTGTAAGACTTGGTATAGTCACCTCTGTGAAGATTATGGCTTCCAGTGAAATGTGATAGGATTCAGGCACAATTCAGGACATTCGGGGAGCGTTCCCGACACCCAGATAGACCGAAAACTTTTGTGGAGGAAAAAATCGGATTAAATACAATTAAATATGGTTAAATTACGATTACATTACATTATCATAACCCTTACGATTAAATATGCGCCTCAACCCTAATATTATATTACGATTACAGTACATTACGGCCTGGAGGTGTATTTAATCATAATCGTCCAGCCTTAGTTTCGACAATAGGAGACGCAACGACCAGCCGAGGCTGGGTGCGCACAAGGTTTTTTACTTCTGCATTTGTAGAGACATGAGATCTTTTCGAATCTGCCTATAAAAGTTGAAAAAGCTGCGCCAGTTTTTATGACCCAGGCCCGCATTGAACGGGCCACTCCCGCGGATGAGAACCTACAGTGAATCAGGTGTGTTACCGCTACACCACCGGGTCTTCCCACGAATAGTATGGCAATCCATCTTGGACTCGCGCGAGTTGCTGGCAAAACGTCCAACCTTGCTTTCAAAAACATTTCATTTCCAGTACAAACACAACACTATGAACACGATGACATCGAATGACACCGCCTAGTAGTGGTGGAAAATATCCGCGGAGTATAATGCTATTAGGGCGGTCACTTTTCGAGGTGCAAGAAACCAAACTTGATGTTCAAGTCGGACGATCGTGGGAGAGGAGACACAATGACTAGATCCACTTCGTTGGCGTCCCGGGCATGCGCGTGAAGGTTGGGATTACCTTGCCTACCCAAGGTGCGCATGAAAATTCGGTCATGTATGTGAGGGCAAAGTGAGTTTGGGAGTTCCGGAACCTAGCCTGGTTTCATGTAAATCCGTGAAGATGTCCCAAACGGGATTTTTTTTATTGGTGCTGTAATCCTAATTGCAGCGGCAAAGGATTCGCGCCGTGGAAGTTCGATTCAGGAATTGATTTGTCAAGCACGAAGCAAGAATAACCCTCGTCAACTCGAAGGAAATGCACGTTTTACGGTAGCCTGGAATAGAATGGGGAAAGGCGAGTCAATCCGCAACGCGTGCAATAATATCGCACGCAGGTGCACCACCTCGGGAAAATTTCATCATAGTTGTCGCAGAGGGTGCACGCCCTTTTGTTTTTCACTGGAGTCTGGAGTCATGTGGCGAGGAATCTTTTTTTCATGATACACAACATTGCATAACCAGAAATTGAATGACAGTGTCTGTCAGTTGCAAACCAATTAGTTGTGCACCCCTCTGGAAATTCCTGCATTTTTTTGCAACATGCTAAATTCATTCATAACTCTGTATTTTCGCACATAACTTTGAAGAGTTTCGTTGGATTTTCACACACAAGATGGAAGATTTTCCTCTGATTGATTTCCAACGCTTTCAAGAGGTCTCTTCATGCTATATTGTCATTACAGTGGTGGCCTGGCCTGGCCTGGCCAGTCTGAGTAGCATTTGGTTGAGAACTGCAAACTTCCAATTGAATAGCCATGTTGGTCTGGACCCCGGAGAGATCTGGACATGAAGGCGAAATAAGTTACCACTGCCCAAGGATATGTTCCTGTGCCACAGCCTGAACTCTGAAGGTTACAACCAGGATACTGCCACAAATGTTTGTTTCCAGAGCTGCCTTGAGATAAAAAATTGGTTAGACTCTGGAGATGCATGGGATGGGCAAGATTGTCTAAAACATTACTAATACTATGAACCAGGTTTTCCATAGAATAAAAAAAATGCAGGTGCTCAAATCAAGTACATTACCCCAATTACACAAAAGGTTTACAGAGTAATATACCACCATCAGAGTCAGCCTAAGGGGCTTTATGCACCTCAGAAACATGTCCTTAAGCATACCCCTTTTGCGGCACGTGGTCGTGCCACCGCGTTGTCTCCAGCCGTGACAAGCCGGATCAGCAACTCTCTCATGTCAACGGATACTGGCCCGAACATGAAGCAGAAATGACTAATAACCGAAAATTGAATGCAGTGAATCTCTTTGGTTCCAGGTTGTGAAGCAGGCTCGTGCACAAGCATTCAAGTCAGTATGATTTACTTCTATATCTTACCCCACTTGCTTTCAATTTATTTTCGCAATGACCAATGTTGCATGACTAAATCTTTGTTTGTCCTTGTAGCAAATGTTGGCAGATAGGCAAGTTCCCTAGGGTAGCCAAACCTGACGGTTCAGCAATGAAACAGCTTCGACATAGACTTGTCAAAGTTAAATCTCTCTCCGCTATTCTTGTGGGAACGCTGGATTAATGCCATCGCTGGCACTCCCAAGTAAGCTGAGAGGATATTCGATGTATGGAAGGTCGCCAGGTATGACGAGAAAAACGAAATCGTCCTTCTTTGGAAACACCACCGGTGCTGCGACGGAGGTGTTACAGTGGTGCGGACGCTCAGCCGGATCTTCCTGCTTCCTGCTTGCTGACAAGGATTGCGTGGACCGAAGGAAAAAGGAAAGAAATAGAAAACATCAACTAGTGACCTGGCCCCGAATCGAACAGGGGACTCCCTCCGATGATGTGTTACACAAGGCCGAAAATCAGAGTAGGTGTGTTACCCATTACACTACCAGGCCATGCATGCATGTCTCACACACACACTGTAGAGTGGCTGTTTCATTGGCAGCTTACAAACGCAAACTGAAAGGGCATATCCTCTCAACAAAAAAGAATGGCAGGTCTACACTCGACTAGGTATCTGAGGCAGGAATTGCGACTCAATGGAGGTCTTCCCGTGATCAATTATTTCAGAAACCGTCTGTCGACTGATGCCGTCGACCGCAGAGGCAACGAGTGCAGTAAAGATTCTCGCGATGCTGTCCTCGTTCGAAGCAGCCTCCAAATGAATCGGTTTTGCACATAGGTCTGCGAATAACGCTCGTTTCCTTCTGTTGTTCGAACGGGGGGCTTGTTTTTCGATTGAGGAAACATTCTTCTCTGCGTACTATTGCCGAAAAAGGGTACGCTCACCAAGTTGAAGAACGTGACGACATGTCCCGCAATCGACTTGCATCCGTAAGGCTCCACCACTCGCTAGGGATACATGTCAGGGAAATAGGTGCGGCCTGGTGGCGTAAGGATCGCACCCACTACACTTTCTGCGAAAATCTGGAGTGTCCATGGGAGGTTCCCCGTTCGATTCGGGGCCAGGCCATAAAGAAAATGTCGAAGCGGGATTGCCGCCAAATCGAGTGGTTTTTTTGTTCTCGCCCTGGATCTCAATTTACAGACAGATCTCAGCTTACAAGATTCTGGAGGGGAGGCTCTCCAGTTAGCCCTGTTGGGCAGGAACTTTGACACGAATGCAACTGCTAGGATCCCCGTGCAAACGTGTTGGAAAGCAGATCAAGAAAGCATCCCAGTAAAACTGAGGTTGGGGACGAACGGGTGCCTCCATTTCAACTCTGTGCTGGATAGGTGCACCGGCCTGCACCAACATGGGGCTTTGCATGGGGGCTCATTGACACCCCATGGACCCCCAAACCAAGTTACAGCCGCTTCCGACTAATTCCCAGGCAGTGCCACTACGTTCATCCCCCTAGATCTAGGCTTACATAATTAGATGGTACGCTTGCAACGTTTCCACTGTAGGTGTGGACTAGCTCTCAGAAAGAGTTGTGGCAAGAACGACGGAGACGCTCACTGTGCCAGAGGCATCACATGTCGACTCATGCCTTCTGTCAACTCATTGTCAGCTCGAGCGCTCTTGAATACACTCATTTGTGTTCCAAAAAGACTTGGTGTAGGAATCCGGGCACTTGACTTCACGTCGCTCTGAACGAATAGACGAATCCCGAGCAAAGCCACCGTAAAAAAAAAGAAGAGTGCTTAGCCGAGATTGACCTGACCCAGACTCGAACCGGGAACTCCCGCTGACTCGTGATGAAAGTGCTCAAATCAGGCAGGCGTGATACCATTACACCACCGGGCCATCCCTCGACACGATTTTAGCCCGAATCCAACTCCAAAATCAAAAGGGCGATTTTGTGACAGTGGGTAACAAATCGATTCTACTTCCTGTCTTAAACTCGAATCTCACTTCCGAGAGCAATCCAGAACTTTCCAGTCACCATGGAGCCATTACTTGGTGTGCGCCCCGAATGGCTTCCACCATGTCATCTTTTGACGGGAATTAAAAAAAAACTGCACATGGTTCTAACGAGCTACTGGAGATAGGCATTACAAATGGAAGCGGGGTGTGTTACCCATACACCACCGGTAAAATGCTGGTTACCATGCACTCAGTGGCGGATGGCCCGCACTCGGTAAACCTGAGAAAATTGTGAACGATCATCCGAGGTAACTCCGGGGCTGGGTCATACCCCAGCCGCTTCTTTTTGGGCTACTAGATACAAAGAAAATGGGCCACGCGCCATGCATGCTGCATGCGGTGCACAAAACAACAAGGGACTCTGTGGAGATGTCGTCGGATAGCGCTGCTCACCTACAAAGGAATAGGTTCCGAGATTTGCCACCGATGACCTTTCAGTGTAAAGAAAGGCCTCTACTTCGTCTACTCTACGCGAGGTGAGCAATTCTGCCTGCGACTACGACCCGAGATGGCATTCGAGCGCAACAGCCAGCCGAGGAGAGGTGGACAAGGTCATGTTTCAAAGTCTTGTTCTAGGATTGCGGTACCCCGTTCTATAAAATTCAATTCGTTATTTTTTTTTTGTGCTACAGCAATGCATCGAGCTCGAAATCTTTCAAACGTCGCACGCACCGGAAATAAAAAATAAAAAAAACCTGCACATGGTTCTAACGACCCGGGCCCGAATCGAACGAGCTACTCCTGCGGAGATAGGCATTACCAGAAAACTAATTGAAGCGAGGTGTGTTACCCATACACCACCGGGTCTTACCAGCTCCAGGTAAAATGCTGGTTACCATGCATTCCAACACCGACTCAGTGGCGGATGGCCCGCACTCGGTAAACCTAAGAAAATTGTGAACGATCATCCGAGGTAACCCTGTTCGATTCGGGGCTGGGTCATACCCCAACCGCTTCTTTTTGTGCTACTAGATTGAATGGCTACGAAGAAAATGGGCCACGCGCCATGCATGCTGCATGCGGTGCACGAAATAACAAGGGACTCTGTCGAGATGGGAATAGGTTCATGCTGTGGAAACGAGATTTGCCATGACCTTTCTGTAAAGAAAGTGGTTCGCTTGCCTCTACTTTGGTGGCTTTAAATGCGAGGTGAGCAAATCTGCCTGTGACTACGACCCGAGATGGCATTCGAGCGCAACAGCCAGCCGAGGAGAGGTGGACAAGGTCATGTTTCAAAGTCTTGTTCCGATATGGAATTCAATTCGTAAATTTTTTGTGCTACAGCAATGGATTATTTTATACTGGAAAAGCCTCGCATGCATCGAGCTCGAAATCTTTCAAACGTCGCACGGAAATCAAAAAAAAACTGCACGGGCCCGGAAGCGGGGTGTGTTACGATACACCACCGGGCCCCAGGATTCCATTCCCCGTTCGATCCGGGGCTGGGTCAACTAGATTGTGGTGTTTAATCAAGGAATTAATTATTTGCACCTTCGAACAGTTGACACTCGCTCTCGGCAACGCAACTTTGATATGTTCGCTGAGCTCCGCATCAAAAAGAATTAACCGCTCACCATGAAATCTTGTTGGACAAGCGAGGAAACTCTCGGACCTCTTCTTTCTGTCAACACATCCGGCAGAAACGTGAAGCTCGGATAGTCGAGCGCAACAGCCAGCCGAGAAGAGGTGGACAAGGTCATGTTTCAAACACAGAAAGCGAACAGTGGGAGATCATGGAATTTGTGGCGGTACAAAAACGAACTTTCAACGCCACCGCAGAGAGCACTTGCAGCGCATACGATCACGTTACAGAAAAAATATCAAAAAAAAGCTCGCGTCCTTCACTCCTCCTCGATTTGCGCTGATTTATTCCACTTGCGCACTGCGTCCAGATCTATGTTGCCAGAGAGCTTTTCGCGCACGCGCTGCATTAACTTGGCTTGGTCTTCCCGAAGCCGCAAGAGGAAGGCGGCAAAGTAGAACACCTGTCTTGGCGACGAAAGATCAAATGTCCGCACGTTTCGTTCCACCAGATACAATTGCTGTGAGATCTCAGCATGATCCAAACGCAAAAGTAGAAAAAAGCCTTGACCTTTTGGGTGGATGACTGCCAGCCCATGAGGATGGCGCCTAGCGTACCTGAAGTCACCAAACAGTAGAAAGGCAAGTCTTGGATGCCAAGGGCAGAGTAAAACGAGACGAGGGAGATGAGATACATGCGGCCCTGGTTGAGGGCCTTTCCGGTGGTCTGGTCACGCTTCTTGTGCTCTACCGTAGCGTGAGGGAGAATAAGGTGGCCCTTGAAGGAAGCAAGTTGCAGCGGAGAAGTGGCCGCCGCCGGTGGAGAATTGCCATAAAACAGATCATCAAGGATGCCTGTTTTCGACGAGGAGGAGGAGGGTCCCATATGTTGAATGATAGCGTCGGTGAGCTTCAAGGAGACGCTGGGGATGGAGATGAACAGAATGGCGTCGCATTTGCCATCCCGAGGCTCAGCAACCGAACGTTGTTGCACGAGTTTGGTGAGCTTGGCTGCTGGCATCGCCTTCACGCTGGAGTGGAAAGTCATGGCTTGTTTGACGGCCTCATGGGCCTGTGTTCCAACCTCGAGATCGAGCTCGAGTGTTCCCACTTGCGCCTCAACACACAGCTTGTGGTGATCCTTTGCCGCTGTGACAAACCGTGGGGTCGCGAGCGTGTCTGCAAAGATGTTTCGGGCAAAGTGAATGGTGTGCTCCAGCCTTGAAACCACGATTCAACTGCCCATTAAAAACGAATGAAACCACCACTTACAGCACATGGGGTGAAATTAGCTCCTTGCGGAGAACATAAAAGTGGTACAAGAGCGAGTCCCATGCGTGACGGCTCTCCGCTTCGTAGACGCTCAACTCGCTGCGCTTCGCATCCAACAGGGATGCGCCCACTGTCGCCGATAACAGAGATGAGAGGCGAGCGAAGAGCAGCGCCTGGTGGTCCGATGAAAGGAGCGGTAGATTCGAATCAGATCGGAGGTCTGTCAGAAGCGCGTCTCGAGCATCGGTCAGAACCAGATCGACAGGCGGCTTCTAAAGGTGTCTGAGCGCCAGTGTCAACCAAACCAATCAACATAAATACCTCGTCCGAATTCACTCCCTGGGAGTCGCACATCTCCCCATATAACGTGAGCATCCCGTTGATTTCCATCTGCTCCGCCGACCTTGCTTCGTTAAAGGGGATCCGACCCAGTGTTTGAACCAGCCGATCGAACATCCAAGTCTGGATTTGAGGTGTCTCTTCGACCACACCACCGGTGGCGGACTTGGCGGCCATGCTGGTGCGGTCTCTTAGCCAACACAACACAGCGCCAGAATGGCCATACCTTGAGCTGGACATGCGGGATTTCGGATTCTCGGGGACGAGCATGTCTTCCTTTCGCCTTGACCGCGTTGGAAAAAAGGCGTACAAAATAAGAAAGCGCAGGCTTACATGGAGAGACTTGCAGGGGGAGTGGGGGGAAGAGACAATGATCTGCCACACGCTTCGACTTCACATACCCACCGACTAACACGGTCCTGATCAGAATGTTCTGATGAGACACCGTCGGAGCGCCAACAGAACCTGTTGTTCTGGCATCCTGTCTTTGCGCACGCAGAAATCGCGGCAAAATCCTGTGAGAGGCCGAGGACGAGCTGTGCAAAGGAGACTGCCTGAGCCACGTTCGTCAAGTCGAATACGCCCAGTGCAGTGCCGGGGGAAGCGACATGAACCATGCGCTGCATAGAATCTCGGTGAAACGTCATCCAATGATCTTCAGTCCAAAACTGACCGTGTCGGAATCCACCCAAGATACTGTCAGCTTCGCAATCGTCCCCGAGAGGTCAAAGCCGACCGCTGGCTGGGGAATCCCCCAGACATGACGCTGGCACGCGACGCTGGACACGAGGTCGACAATGTTATCCTTGTCGGCAACGCAGAGGAACGGAAGAACCGCGGAGAGGTGCTTTCCACGCCCCGGAAGAACGTGGGCCTCTAGAGGAACGTCAATGGAGGACACGGAGGAGTCACTTTCGCTGTCGACGCTCATCGGGTAAACTGCTGTATCGGCGTCCACGGTCCGAGGCTGTACCTCGGTGATATATCGGGAATCGTCGCCAAAGCTTTCCACGGAATGGCATGCAAGGAAAGTGGCCATCCCGTCCAAGCTACCTTCATACGGCGTCCTGGTCCGAGGCCGTACGAAGGGTGTCTCTGTGCTGCGATGAAAAAGTAAGCCAGAGTCATACAGAAAATAGGAATAAATACAGGGTAATGGCCTCTTTGCTGCACATGTGAGCCAGGACGCGCATCAAGCTGGACACGAAAGGCACAGCCGAACGCGATGGGCCGTAATGCACGATTAAGGAACGTATGTCAGAGACATGGGAGAGCACGAGGTTGAAAGCCTCGCTCAGAAGCGTGTCGCAGCAGTCCGTATCGAGCAAAGTCGCCGGTTTTGGGATTTCAGACACAAGCGGCAGGTTTCCGCTGGATACGGACGGATAAGGTCCGGTAGCACACCAAGCAGGCAGGGTAGCAGCCAGAGTACAACGGATTAAAGACAATTCCGGTAGCCAGAGAGCCCAATCCTCGATAGAGTGAACCGTCACAGATATTGACTGTGTCATGGGAGTGAGGAGAGTTGGACACAATCACGTGGGAGGTACGTAACTTGTTACTTCCAAACAATATTGTTTATTGCATGCCACGACGTGGCATCGCGCAATGACACCGGCCATCAAAAAACGAGGAGATGTATGTGGGCCCGAATCGACTGAACGCTAGGATGTTCTCGGCTGCGGTTGGACAATTTGCAAAGGCTAAATCCTCCCACTGGATGAAAAACACATTAGGCTTCATTCAGGTCCCCAACCATGATAAATTGGTTACTCCCGTCGCCCAATCTAACTATCAGTATGCTGAATAGCAAATTTGAATGTGTTGGCATGATTATAATCCTTACAATAATTTTTCGGCATGATGTGGAAGACATTAATCCACGGTTCACGGAAGAGATGTTGTTACGTCCGACGGGTGATAATATGATTGAAACTACATGTACACTACTGCGCAGGTGGCGACTCCCATGACACGCTCCAAATTCCACAACAGGTGGGACGTGTTGGAGAAGTGGAGCGACCACACGCTCGGGGTACAATGGATGAAATAGGTGCACTCACTCAAACTCCGATTTTCGGACCACTCATCCATCAAAAATCGCCGCTTGGACCGATCCAAGAATATCTTCAAGAATGAGGTGGCTGCGCTACGGTTGGTCTACCAACTGTTTGACTCGAGCAGTTGGTTTGTACACCGCCACTTTGGTCGGAGCTCCCCGAGCTACCATATCAGGACTTGTAAGCGAGGAGATCTGAGGGGAGCTCGCCGGGATATCAAAACGGGCAATCCCTTGAGTATTCTGGGATCCACTATCCCTGCGTGAGCTTTTGAGGTTCTTCTCCGATCCCATTTTATTCCTTTCATTGCAGATAAAATAGGCAAAAATGAATTTATTCACAATATGTACATAAAACACTGTAAGTGTGAAATAATGACTACATAAGTACGAGAATAATAACCAAGTACGAGAATGGGCGAGAGCTTGATTGGAGACCAAAGATCTTGACAGTCTTGAGCTTGAGCAGATAGCCAAAGGGAAGGTAGCAACAGGTGTTTGGATTTGAAGCGAGACTTGAGGTGACTGAAGGGAACTTGAAAGACGACAGACAAGAAGAAAACGGGCTTGATGTATGGGTTGAAAGACTTGAAGCAGTCCTTGCAGTGCTGTCGAAGCAGGGTTTGAGAGTTGAGGACAGGTAACGGCGAAGGAGAGGTCCTGTTTTTGATTGATCATCAACATACGCGCACCGAAAATGTGAAAGAGATTGTTTACGCATCGTGGATCTCCGCTTTTTGCATCAGGTGTATGAGAGATGTACAGATGCAAGTCTAAACGGGGCCAAAGTAGACAACGATGTCCTCTTCTTAAAACCTCTCGAACGGGAGATCACAGAATGATTCTCGGGATCCCCAGCCGAGATTTTGTCGGACATCCTCCGATGTCAAGGCTCCCATTGATATCTGACCAAATTGGGGGTGTAGGGAAGTCCTTCATGTTAATTTATTACCTCGATGCGCAGGCTCGGCATGCGACGTGGCCATCAATGATAAATGGTGCCGGCCGCTCCTCGGCCGCTGCGGCGTTGATCGATCGATCAAAATCGATAACGCGGCGTTGATGCGGGGTGAGATCCGCCCCGCTGCGGAGTTTACTGATCAAGATCGATAAGGCGGCGCGGGAGATGCGCCTCATGTTCAAACATCTCTTGTTTCTAAACCACCACCATGCCGCCCCGCCGCAGCTTCAAGTTCGCCTCCTACGACGACAACGATGAAGCAGATGCCGATTACGCTCCCGCGGGAGGCAGCCACGAGCGCGCCGTAGTGCGGACCCGGAAGAACCCGGACCGCCACCAAGCCAAGGTCGTTATCCCGCCCGATGTTCGCGCGGCGCAGTCGGCAGGCGCACTCCTCGACCCCTACGCCGTTTCGGAGGCCTACACCGACTTCCTAAAAAAACTCCAGCTCGTCTCCGACGCTCGCCACGGTCTGTTCGACATCCACTCCCGCCTCGTTACTTGGAAGGACAGCACCGAGCGCAAAGCATTCCGCAAATGGGCCCCGAACCAGTTCCTCAGCAACGAGAACACGGTGAAAGGCTGGCTGCACGAGCGGCGCGGTCCCCAGCCGGTTCGTTTGGCGGTCGTCTCCAGTTTCGTGGACAATCCGGTGAAGACCAAGACTTCGATGACGGAGTGGGGGATGTCGAAGTGGCACATATGGGTGCTCATGGAGATCCGTGCACCCAAAGGGCACAACGGGCGGGCGCTCGCCATCTACGACTGCAATGCGCAAGACTTCCCGGATTGGACTCGTTTTACAGAGTTCAACAACGCGAGGTCGAAGACGCTCGTGAAGGTGGCGCAGGATGGTTGCCCAAATGTCCCGCTCTTCGTCTCGAAGCCGACGCAGGTACTCAACAACCGGGGGATTTGCGTCCAGCTAACCGTGGAGCGGTTGATGGAGTTTGTCCAGGAGGGGTTGACGATTCAGAGGGACGCGTGGGGGAAGGTAGTGGAAATCAACAATTTCACGCGAATGAGCGCGTAGTTTTTTTTTTTTGGGTTTCTGGTTCGACCGTTCCGTTGTAACACTATGATTTACTTGGAATTTGTATAGCCGTTGAACGAGAGTTTTTCCCTTGATTCTGATGCCATCTTGTTGAAAAGGGCGTGAAGAAATAGCCTGCGTCGAAACCATCTGTACATACTTCAAAAAGGGCCGGGGAAGGGTAACGATTTGAACAGCACCCGGGAAAAAATATACTGAGAGCTCTGAGCGAGAATTTTTCGCTTAATTCCGATGCCATCTTGGTGAAAAGGACGTCAAGAAGTAGCCTGTGACGAAAAAAAAAGCCCCGCGTCGAAACCGCCTGTACATAGGCCGGGGAAGGATAACGATTTAAACAGCACACGGGAAAATATATATATACTGAGAGCTCTGAGCGAGAGTTTTTCGCTTAATTCCGATGCCATCATGTAGAAAAGGGCGTCAAGAAGTAGCCTGTGACAAAAAAAAAAGCCCCGCGTCGAAACCGCCTGTACATAGGCCGGGGAAGGATAACGATTTAAACAGCGTATGCGAAAATATATATTACTAAGAGCTCTGAGCGAGAATTTTTCGCTTAATTCCGATGCCATCTTGGTGAAAAGGACGTCAAGAAGTAGCCTGTGACAAAAAAAAAAGCCCCGCGTCGAAACCGCCTGTACATAGGCCGGGGAAGGATAACGATTTAAACAGCACACGGGAAAATATATATATACTGAGAGCTCTGAGCGAGAGTTTTTCGCTTAATTCCGATGCCATCATGTAGAAAAGGGCGTCAAGAAGTAGCCTGTGACAAAAAAAAAAGCCCCGCGTCGAAACCGCCTGTACATAGGCCGGGGAAGGATAACGATTTAAACAGCGTATGCGAAAATATATATTACTAAGAGCTCTGAGCGAGAATTTTTCGCTTAATTCCGATGCCATCTTGGTGAAAAGGACGTCAAGAAGTAGCCTGTGACAAAAAAAAAAGCCCCGCGTCGAAACCGCCTGTACATAGGCCGGGGAAGGATAACGATTTAAACAGCACACGGGAAAATATATATATACTGAGAGCTCTGAGCGAGAGTTTTTCGCTTAATTCCGATGCCATCATGTTGAAAAGGGCGTAAAGAAATAGCCTGTGATGGAAAAAAAAGCCCTGCATCGAAACCGCCTGTACATAGGCCGGGGAAGGGTAACGATTTGAACAGCACCCGGGAAAAATATATATACTGAGAGCTCTGAGCGAGAGTTTTTCACTTAATTCCGATGCCATCTTGTTGAAAAGGGCGTCCACCCTGCGTCGAAACCGCCGGCATTATTTATTCAGATGGGTCCACTTTCGTCAAGTCCAATTTTTTAATGTATGCCGGGCATGTCCAACATCGTATACATACGAGTACATGTCCGGGAAATACGCACGGCCTGGTGGTGTATGGTATAACACGCCTGCTTGACTGTTCAAGGACAAGTTAAATGTGCGCAGGAGGTTCCCCGTTCGATTTGGGCCAGGCCACTAGATATACAGCTCCGGGACTTTTTTGTTTTGTTTTGTGGCTTGTTGCGAGATGATCCGGTAAGCCTGCGGCAGTTTCGCTACACCTCAGCGCAACAAGTGTGGCCTGGTACTACGCCGCGATGTCGTGGTCGCTTTATTTAGTTTTTTGAATCGACGGTTTCGGTTGAGAACTTCCCTCGCCTGGACGTGAATTTTTCCGAGGGCAGCGCACGACCGAATGACCCGACTGTGTCAACGTCGGGTCTGAACCACTTCCGACAAAGAACGATCGTCCGTGCTCGAGTGTGGAGGGGAAAAAAAAAAGCAGCTTGTGAAGACCTTTACGACCCAGGCCCGAATCGAACGAGCAACTCCTGCTGCCCATTGGAAATGCATGCCATTCAATTGAAAGCAGGTGTGTTACCAGTACACCACTGGGTCTTGCCTGCTTTCGATCCATAATGAAATAGTATGGCCTTCATCTTTCATTTTCGAGGCGCAGTCGAGATGCTGTTATGACCCCGGTCTTGGATACAGGGCAGTTGTTCTGTGACTCCCGCTTCGGACAACGACCAGCCGAGGCTGGGTGCGCACAAGCTTTTTATTTATGCGTGTGCAAAAATTATTAGAGGACATCTGCATTCAGGATCACAATTCAGCTCCAGTTGGTTGACTGCCTCAAACGTATTTACCGTCTTATATTACATCCGAGAGAAGTTGCATCTGAACTGAAGATGTGCCACCCAAGCTAATATTGCACAACAACGATTCAAGTGCGTCAATGGAAAACGGGTCCATGACACTAGGCGCACGAAAGGATGCGCCTCCATTATCAGGCAGTCAAAGCAGGCAGATTGAAAGCCTCGCTCAGAAGCGTGTCGCCGCCGGCTTCGAGATTTCACACCCGGCAACGTAGGTTACTTCCTTGCAGCTCGTCGACGCTGTCGTCTATAAAACCTCTTTTCACTGCACCGTCTTCCATGAATACCTCCCAGATCGGGAGCGAGGCGGTGAGGTGAGTCGCGAGGTGGCCTTGACTCCGGCTGCTCTTGCTTTCCATTCTCATGCTGCGCATAGGGGGGAAAAAAATTACCCGGATCTCCCTATAGAAGGTTCAGCGACTCCCACTATGGTACGATAATAGAAGCAGGGCATAGTTGACCAACGTTGGCCCCAAAATTTGTGGCTGATGCGGACGTGCACCAAGGTGGATGAGCGGGGAGGATGGATGCATTCGCGTCAAGATTGAAAGTTCAGATGATCCAATTACTTTTCACCAGTAAGATTGCCAGCAGCAGTCTAGAATTGTCCTGCTGCACACAGCGCACTTTCATGTATGAGACATAATGCTCAGAGTTTTGATTTATTCAACGGCCTTGTGGTGTAATGGGAACACACTATGCTGAAATGGGAACTCGCACTTGCGGACTTTATACATAGAGACTTGCGTTCAATTCGCAACTGGGCCATCATTTTTGTCTCCATCCCGGCCCTCTGATATATTTTGGTTATAATAGCTTTGAGGGTAGGAAAATGAGATGTTTTTAATGGATAAGAGGGAAATGAGGTGCGACTGCGAATGGGTATTACAAGATGACTAGCAAGGAGGGAACCTATGAAAATGAGGATGGGAGAAAATGGGGTTTTTAATGGATCATGGGATCGATCCCACAGGGTGTAACAGCTACATGGTTGTCTAAAACCTGCCCATTTAGTAGGCCCTAATGCATTCCAGGTGACCTCAAAGAACCCGAATGTGGTTAGATCATCGAAAACGGTTGAAATATGAGCCAGGGAAGGGCCAAGGTCAAAAATTTCCTTTTTGGGCCAAAAGCGTTGATCGCCAAATTGTAGAGCTCATCAAGGGCTACAAGAGTCTATTATACCATTTTTTGATTGGTGGCCTGGTTGGCCCGCAAAATGCGAAATACTTTCGAAAAGCCAGCGCTTTTTGATGAAATAGGGGCTATGCATCCCAATACAGGCAGCCATCAATTATATGGCACCCAATACGGACAGCCATCACTTGTAAAGCAGCCATCAATTTCACGGGAAGACTCATCGATTTGCACCGAGCCATCATGCCTAGCAAAAGAAAGCAAAATATATTATATTCATGAAAACAAATGAATTTATTCCCACCGGAAGCCCCTCTATATAGGCCGGCATCCCAAGATAACGTGTTACACCCTATGGGATCGACCCCAGGTTTAACACGTTGTGAGGTGAATGGATAGGAGGGAAATGAGGTGCGACTAGCATGAAAAGAACAGCACCACATGTATATCACCAATACCAACATCGCCAAAAACGAGCTGCTTCATGCTGCTTGTTATACACCCACGAGTTTGCCTGCAGAGCTAGCGGACATGAGGAACCAATCTTGTGGGGTGTAAAAGCGAGTCATGTGCCAGAAATGCCCTGAATGTGCGTACCTGTCGATGGAATCACGTACCTTGGAAACGGTTGCATGGCGCAGTTGGTTAAGGTGTCATTTGTTGACACGGATGACAAATCAGATCAATATTTTGGTCTTGGTTCGACTCCCGCTACTGTCCACCTTTTCCTGCACCATTACCTGGGCATTGTCTGCCTTGAACGTCCTAAATAAAAATAGCCTGGTAGCGTAGCAGTGTGGACCAAAAATAGTTGCAGCAAGGTGGATAAAAATAGTGAGAGCGTTTAAAAATAGTGACAGCGTTCAAAGGTACTAACAATAATTGCAGCCTGCAAGATAAAAATAGTGGGAGCGTTCAAAGGTACTAAAAATAATTGCAGCCTGCAAGGTAAAAATAGTGAGTGCAGCTAAAATAGCAGCAGTGGCTAACAATAGCAAAAAGCGTCCGAAAAAGGAGAGGAAATGAGCACAGCCACACTTTGTCTACTGAAAAGCAGTGTCGAAGCAGTGCCTGGGAACGACCGAAAAAGGCAATATTGTGATCGGATCAGGCCCAAAAAGGAAATTACGTCACAATCCGTTAAGCAAAATGGGAAAACAGATAGTTAGAGCCTTGATGCAGGCAGGTTTAACAAGGAATGTCACGTAGAACGAATTCCCCAAGGCTCGAAAGGGGATGGATCTGACCCTCGCCTTCCCTCTATATTCCATGCCGAAGCCCGGTCCCGTTCCATTTGATTCCCTCTATATTCCATGCCAAGTCCCGTTCCATTTGATTTGATTTTTTAATTCCATTCAATTCCGCCTATATCCCGTTCCATTTGATTTGATTTTTTAATTCCATTCAATTCCGCCTATATCCCGTTCCATTTGATTTGATTTTTCAATTCCAATCAATTCCGCCTATATTCCATGCCAAATCCCGTTCGATTCGATTCGATTTGATTTACTTCAATTCAATTCGATTCGATTCGGCGGAGGCTTGGGAGGGGTGCGCGACCCAATGTTACCTTGGGCTGGAATATGGGCATTGAACGTGGGCAGCGTATATCAACTATGATCTCCATTCTCCTAGAGCAAGGCATACCCCTTGAAATATCACCGTCTTGCTTGGCTAGTCGGAAACTTCACGACACGGCGGGCCATGTACCCTTGGCTTACGGCACGGTGGATACAGAGTCTAACCGAACGACGCAAGGCGGATACAGAGTCTAACCGAACACGGCAAGTGGATTCCGAGCTCCCGTTTGACTCTCGCCGAGAGCAGGCCGTCTTTCGAAATGTTTGGCGTGGGGCGGTATTTCAAGCTGGATACAGAGTCTAACCGAACGGGTTCCGATGAAATGCACTACAAGGCCGATACCCGGAGTTAGGGGCGCGCTGCGCTTGCCCTAACTCCTCGAAAAGGCGGCACACGGCCATCATCAACGCCGGCTAAATCCCTTGAGAGGTTCTTTCTCTACGTTCCCATCCTAACTCTAACCGAACCCTAACCAGCGGAGGTGGGACGGCACGGCTGATACCCGGAGTTAGGGGCGCGCTGCGCTTGCCCTAACTCCTCGAAAAGGCGGCACACGGCCATCATCAACGCCGGCTAAATCCCTTGAGAGGTTCTTTCTCTACGTTCCCATCCTAACTCTAACCGAACCCTAACCAGCGGAGGTGGGACGGCACGGCAGATACCCGGAGTTAGGGGCGCGCTGCGCTTGCCCTAACTCCTCGAAAAGGCGGCACACGGCCCAATCTCACAAAACGGGCGCGAACCGGCAACTTTATGTGGCCCTCGAACCGCGTCGTATAGAGCCTTGATGCAGGCAGGTTTAACAAGGAATGTCACGTAGAACGAATTCCCCAAGGCTCGAAAGGGGATGGATCTGACCCTCGCCTTCCCTCTATATTCCATGCCGAAGCCCGGTCCCGTTCCATTTGATTCCCTCTATATTCCATGCCAAGTCCCGTTCCATTTGATTTGATTTTTTAATTCCATTCAATTCCGCCTATATCCCGTTCCATTTGATTTGATTTTTTAATTCCATTCAATTCCGCCTATATCCCGTTCCATTTGATTTGATTTTTCAATTCCAATCAATTCCGCCTATATTCCATGCCAAATCCCGTTCGATTCGATTCGATTTGATTTACTTCAATTCAATTCGATTCGATTCGGCGGAGGCTTGGGAGGGGTGCGCGACCCAATGTTACCTTGGGCTGGAATATGGGCATTGAACGTGGGCGGCGTATATCAACTATGATCTCCATTCTCCTAGAGCAAGGCATACCCCTTGAAATATCACCGTCTTGCTTGGCTAGTCGGAAACTTCACGACACGGCGGGCCATGTACCCTTGGCTTACGGCACGGTGGATACAGAGTCTAACCGAACGACGCAAGGCGGATACAGAGTCTAACCGAACACGGCAAGTGGATTCCGAGCTCCCGTTTGACTCTCGCCGAGAGCAGGCCGTCTTTCGAAATGTTTGGCGTGGGGCGGTATTTCAAGCTGGATACAGAGTCTAACCGAACGGGTTCCGATGAAATGCACTACAAGGCCGATACCCGGAGTTAGGGGCGCGCTGCGCTTGCCCTAACTCCTCGAAAAGGCGGCACACGGCTAAATCCCTTGAGAGGTTCTTTCTCTACGTTCCCATCCTAACTCTAACCGAACCCTAACCAGCGGAGGTGGGACGGCACGGCTGATACCCGGAGTTAGGGGCGCGCTGCGCTTGCCCTAACTCCTCGAAAAGGCGGCACACGGCTAAATCCCTTGAGAGGTTCTTTCTCTACGTTCCCATCCTAACTCTAACCGAACCCTAACCAGCGGAGGTGGGACGGCACGGCAGATACCGAAAAGGCGGCACACGGCCCAATCTCACAAAACGCGCGCGAACCGACAACTTTATGTGGCCCTCGAACCGCGTCGTATAGAGCCTTGATGCAGGCAGGTTTAACAAGGAATGTCACGTAGAACGAATTCCCCAAGGCTCGAAAGGGGATGGATCTGACACGTTTTAATCCCCACATGTAGGTCAGGTCAGATCCCATTATTGGAGATAGTACGTATTGTGACTTTGAAGTCAAGACTCTATCTATTTCTAGGGTATATATATATATTTTTTTCCAAATCGATATTTCTAGAGCCATACTCGATGAGCGTGCAGCCCAGTGTTGTTGTCTATCTCGCGGTCGATCGCGCAGTCATCGCACCCAAGAGTCTTCAGCCACTCGTCTATGACCTGATTGTCCTTTTCCACATGTCCTAGCACAGCAAAGGTTTCGAGCGCACGGCATGCCTTTCCAGGGTCGATCCGCGAGTGGACCATCTGCGCGAGGTCCCTTGCCATTTCCGGATAGAACTCGCCTCCTTGAAGGTCCAAGACGATGTAGGTGAGCTCTGGTCCGATGCAAAGGCCGTTGACGACCGACAGCTCCGGCAACAACATGTGCCATCCGTCCTCCAGAGAGGCGATCAGCGTCCGGACAGTGGGAAGGGCGGTGAGGATCATGTCGAGCTGCCCGATGTTCTCCCCGTCGAGGATTGTGACCAACTCCAGGTGCTCGATCTCTGTGCGTGGGTTCCGAACCATGAAATCCTCGAACGCTTGCACGTCGCCAAAGTCGAGGTAGGGGATCTCGACGACGAGCTTTTTCAACATCGGGAAAGTGGCCCAAAACAGGAGTTCACTGCCATGAATCCAAAGCGTGTTCAGGTTGGCCAGCGCAATGGTCTGCCCGGGGCCACCGAGAGGCATCCTTCGGGGCAGCTCCAAGGTTTGAAGAAGCTGCGCCGAATGGAGGCTGGGAATAGGATACTGCACCAAGTTGTTCTCCCAGCAGCTCGCAAACGTGAGCAGCTGGCCGTAAGGCAAAGGCAGCCCCCTGTCGAGCCCGGTCAACGACCGGACAGCGACGTCGGTTAACCTAGGTGCCAAGCCAAAGGGCGCGAAATCGGTGGGCCGATGCTCCAGCTTCATCCATGGGTGCTCATCGATGCTGATGCTGAGGCTTTCCAACAAGGGGAGTCGACCCGTGACACCTCCCAACGTGAAGTAGTGCCAAGAGGTGAGGTTCAGCT